TGTTCAAGTAGTCAAATGCTTGTGACACACTCATGCTTAGTCCATTCTTGCACTTGGTGCTAGTCCGAGTCATCCTTGGTTGTTCAACTGGTCACATGCTTGTATTTTCATTAGTCACACTCATGCTTTGTCAATTCTTGCACTTGGTGATAGTCTGATTCATTCTTGGTTGTTCAACTAGTCGCATGCTTGTGTCACACTCATGCTTTGTCCATTCTTGCACTTGGTCATAGTCCGATTCATCCTTGGTTATTCAACTAGTCACATGCTTGTGTTTTCATTAGTCACCCTCTATGAAACACCCGCGGACGCGGTCGAGCTCGGAGGGCGGCTGTGATCACGGCCGCCACAGCTCCGGTCGTGGTTGGGTGCGGTCGCGACTTTGAGGATTTTGCTTGGACTTTAAAAAAGTCTAAAACAAAAAAACAAAAAATATAGGGTTGTAGATGTTTTCGAGATGTAAATTGCGCAATGTTTTATTTTATTTTTTGACTTCGTTTTTTAATTTAAAAAATTCAAAAAACTAATTTTCCTGAGGCAAATGCTTTTTTTTTTTTTTTCTAAGAAAAAACTATGAAACTTATGTGTTTTTTTATTTTAAATTCAGGAAAGTTTTTGGATATGAACCACAAGGCAAAAGTTGTTCAGTATATGTTTCTGCATAACATTTTTTTTTAAATATATATATATATATTTTTTCCATGGCCGCGGGCTTCGGTTATGGCCGCGGGGTCGCGCATGGCCGCCTCCGGGGGGGATTCATAGGTAACCGTCGTGCTTTGACCACTCTTGCACTTGGTGATAATCTGATTCATCCTTGGTTGTTCAACTAGTAAAATAGTTGTGTTTTCGTTAGTGAAACTCATGCTTTGTCAATTTTTGCATTTTGTGATAGTCTGATTCATCCTTGGGTATTCAACTAGCCACATGCCTATGTTTTCATTAGTCACACTCATGCTTTGTCCATTCTTGCACTTGGTGATAGGGTATCGCCGCACGACGCACGAAATGAAAACGAAACGAGTGCATCTGCCCACAAAAGGTGACAAAATACGCTCGTTACTATTTACAGCCAACCGATGAACCTGTCCATTTTCTGCAGGAAGATGCACTCGTTTCGTTTTTCATTTCGTGTCCCGTTGTCGGGACTGGTGGGTCCCGAATAACATCCCGTCACTCGAGAGACTGTATATAGCCAGATTGTGCACGATAGAGAAATCTAGAGTAAGGAGGTAAGATAGAGAAAAGACAAAGGACTAGGCCATCGACAGGGATGATGCCCTTGGTTGGGAACTGTCGGGGAAAGAACCAGCGACGGCAAGCAAGTAAGCGCACCTGGAACATAGCATGAGGTCAGGAGGGCCATCAGAATTCAGCAAAACTAAGGCCAAGGGGTCATTGACCCGCCGAACACGGCACAACGGCGACAAAAGAATGAGGAAGTCGAGAGGTGGATGGCACCGGAGGCCGTGGGACGTTAGAGAATAAGGGCCGACATGGACCACCTACGATAATTAACGGGAACCTCAGGTTGAAGGTCCGCGACCGAGAATTTAGATGCAGTAAAAATTGAAAAAGTGGACTTAGGGGCTCAAATTTGAAGCACGGGCTACTTGGGGGCGACACGGAATATTGTTCGTCTTGAATCTCAGCCAGATCCAAGGCTAAAAATACACCGCTGCATGGGAAAATATCTCGGCCTACCCAAAATGGGATAGAAACTGAAAAAATCGAGAAAATGGCCCACTAGGTTTTTTTTATCTCAAGTAAAGTTGCCCCTTGGGCATTAGGACCCAAGGGGGCAGCATTTTGGAAATGAAAAGGAGGCCGAAGGAGGCCAAGAGGCAATCCGAGTTGGTACCAACCACTCGGACTGCATGTACTTGGCCAAAATGAGGCCCGGGTACCTCCGGAAGGGCCTAATAGTGAAATTTTGCCTTGAGGGTACCTCGGTTCACCTCAAGGCACATGGGGAGGCCCATAGGCTGGCCGGACTGCTGGTTTTAGCCTACATAAGTTGGGAATTCAGTCCGTCACATTCACAATTGTATGAGGAGTGCCCATGTTGCCCAAGTGAGCTCATAGGAACACTCTTTCACTTGGAGAAAGGAGAAGGAAACCCATGCCAGTTTGAGAGCTTAGAGGAGACTATGAGCTAGGAAGAGGATCTCTAGAGGCTAATGGTGGTGAGGCTGGCACTAGGAGAGGTGATCCGCCATAGCCCCCCAGGGTGTGAGGAGGAGAGAGAGGCTAGAGGGAGTCTCATTAGCCCTCCTAGAGGGGAGGACTCCATAGCCATAGTGAGAGGAGTTTGCCCTAGCTTGGGTAAAAAGAGAGAGAAAGGAGAGAGAGACTTGAGGAAGAAGGAAGTAATAGCCAAGGAAGTATTTGTGCAAGGAGGAAAAAGCCTCATCAAGGTTGAGACTACATCTCCAAGACATCAACAAGGTGAGTTGGAGGAAGAAGATTTTCCTTCTCCCTCTTCTTCTTCTTCTTCTTCTTCTTCTTCTTCTTCTTCTTCTTCTCCATTCTTCTTCTTTTTCTTCTCCTTCTTCATTTTTTTCTTCTTGTTCTTCTTCTTCTCCTCCTTCTTCTCTTATCTTCCTTCTTCTTCTTCTTCTTCCCTTTCTCCTTCTTTTCTTCTTCCTCTTCTTCTTCTTCATCTTCTTCTACTTCTTCTTCCTCTTCTTCTTCTCTTTGGTCTACTCTATCTCTTGCTTTTCACTCACATGCTAGTAGGTAGTGCTCCGATTCTTCCATGGATGATCTCATGCTCAAAACTTGTGATTTG